CTTTAAAAGCCCACATGAACGAGATGCCACGAACACGAGCCTTTGCACCGAGAAGCAGTGGAGTGCTCTGTCAGTATATGTCAAGATTAGTTACATTTGAACACCTACAGGCTGCACATTCACGACAACACGCACTGGGACTTTCAATATTTTCCACAACCGTTTCTTAAGTAGCAAGAAACCCATTAATTTCTAGCAAAGTTTTATTTATTTATATATATATATATAAATATATAAATATAATTTCCCAGCTTTTCAACAACACTGCTGGCTGCTGTTAGTCCGTATGAATAGATTCCTTTGAAAAGACAGCAAGGTGAATTGTAAGGCTTCCACCCACTCCACTCCATTCACACAGTGAACTGCCAGTCTCAAGGAGAGCAGATATGAGCAGAGAAAGAAAAGTGTAGGTGTAGGTAGAAAAGGATGATAGAGAATGTGAAAGGAGTGCGGCGAAAAAAAAACTGAGACAGCTGTATAGAAAGATAACCTTCAACTTACCATTACATAGAACAAAACTGGTATTTAGGCACTTACACGTGTGACGTCGATATGACAATAAAGGTTTGAACACAAAATGTACAGACAAAATGCCAGATTTTTGTTTTTCATAACTTGACTTGAATCTTTTTTTTAACTTTAAATAAAAAAAAGTCACACAGTACCAGTGACATTCTGAAAGATATGGACATATTTCGGACCAGTCTGGATTTAAACCCACAACCCTCTAAATATGAAATCTTTTGTTGAACCTCAAATAAAGAGCTCTTGTAGAACTTACACAAAAATATAACTTTTAATTAACTGCTGACTTTTCCCACTCCCTATAAACAGAAGCAGTGACACTCTGAGGTGTTGGTGTCCAACATTTGCCCAGGAGAACAGTTTTGTTTTCCAGCAAACAGCCAATTATGAACCCACTAAATCAGACTGTCCAGGCTTTAACACTTGGACTCCGTGTTTGAACAGAGATTCAGATTGGCAGCCAAACAAGTGACAATAATTAATGACCTGATCCTGATTTGTACTAAGAAAATGTTTCTGTTATCATGTTACCACAGTTGCCATAATCCAAACAGGATGTCATTAAGAACAAGCACCTCCTCATCAGTAGCCTTGAAAATGCAGACTCACGGCTGCACAGCGACCAGTGGACTCATCTGCTATTCCTACCTGGTTAATATTCAAAATGATTTCATCCAAACAGAAAGTTTGTGAACAAAGTCCATGATGGACGCTGAGACCAGGATAGAAATATGTGAGGTGATAAACGATGAAATACAAAGGAGGGGGTGAAATGCAAATCATGTCTTTCTGCCTGCAGGAGCCGTGTTAGCTGTCTGACGTGTGATGAATGGTGTAGTGCTGATACTGCTGCCCTCTCACCTCCACTCTTTGTCAACCGTTCAGTGGCAAAGAGGTGAAAAAACAGTCTTGCTACCTTTTGTCATTTAACATCATGCACATGAAGGTACATGCACAAACACACACACACACATTGTGCTACAGGATCTATCTAAAACAAATGTAGTTGCTGAGTCTGTGCAGTAGTTTCTCCTCTGCTGCAGGAAGTAGAGCATGGGAGTGGTGATGCAGGTTCAGCACCTGGCACAGGTGAGTCTAATGATGATGACGACGCCTCTCCCTATATTAGCAGGAGCAGGGGCACAGACACAGACACAGACTGGCAAACATTGACATGCTGATGCAGAGAGACTGAGGAGTTGAGGCCAATCTGCAGCACGGTGTTGTTACAGTAGTTTACTTGAGTTCAGAGACAAATTAAAAGGACGATAATGATGAGACAGTTTGGACATGTGCTGAGAAGGAACATGCCTGGTTGTTTAAACAAGTGATGTTGGAGCAGGTGCAGCAAGGCTACAGTAAATAAAAAAGACAGTGAAGTGCATGAAATTAAAATGGATGATAACCTGAAGTAACATGTTAAGGCAGCAGCTGGAAGAACAAGACAACGTCATCTTCCAATAATGACGTAACACGGACAGCCACCGAGGTATTCCAAGTATTCTAACTTTCAGTTTTCTGCGGACAGTTTTGGTCTTAGGCATTTTTTTAAAGAGAAACCTCAAATCAAAGTTGATTCAGCAGAGTTTTAAAACAGTCCTAATACCTGACCATGTCAGGAGACAATTAAGCGGCTTTGTTAAAATGTTCTCTAAACTTTTACAGGAATCTTCCTTTTAAATAAAGTATTGGTTGGTGATGAGAGTTCCAGCTGCTACACAAATATCTGTACCCCTTTGAAAAGACAAATACTCATGTTTTTTCTTTACAAATTCACTGGTGCAGCATCATAGCACATGCACAAAACCACACGTGCACACACACACCTACCCACAGGGATACACAGTTTAAATTGCACCATGACTTTAATAATTCCTACCTTACTCCAACATGTATTTGCTGAGCAAAGCTCATTTCCTGCTGCACTGCTTACCAGTTTTTACTCCCTCTATACACAGAACCTTCACTGTGTCTGATGCAACAACTTTTACTGGTGTGAAACCCGGGGCCTCTGGGAAGGAGCAGTGAAACAGGTACATCAGGAATTTCATATTATGATGCGTAAAATGAGGATGAGGTCAATGAGAGCACACTAGATGATAGTTGGAAATGGAAGATGCCCAGTTGTTAGCCCTAAAAAGAAAACAGACATATATCAGAGCTATAAAGAGTGTGACGTACTGTAGGCTTAAATTGCAGCAGTCATCTTTTTAAACAACCCCCCCTAAATGTTACACAGTTAAACCCAAGACCCAAAACAACAAAGTCCAATTATCTGCAATGTCCATGTAAGTTATATTCTACAAAAAAAAACGATGATATATGACTAAAGGTTTTTATTTAAAATAAATTAAGCATAGATTGTGTTGAAAAAGGGCTAAAGAACTAAAAAAAACCTCTAATTTACATATTAAGAAAAAAAAAAATCAAAATTATCAGTTTGGTTAGATATTTAAAAAAATGATGAAAATGTTTGGAATTTTTTTAACATTTTATCTTGTATGAATCAATTTAGAATTATTTTAATAACGTTTTTATTTATTAAATTTTTTCAGAATGTTTTTGACATTTCATCAGATGTTGAAAAAATTGATGTTTGGGAAAATGTTCAAAAATGTATCTCGTAACCATTTCACGATGGTAAGGCATGTTTTGG